AGAGGGGATTTTCATCTACAAACCTTAGGTAAATAATTCTAATCTATTTCTAATCATATTCCATCAACATACCTTAGATTTTAGCATCAAAATCATATGAATCAAAGTAAAAATTTGTCAAGTTTTTGAAAAATAAGAAAGTGAGTTTTGAGAGTTGATTTGGACTCAGATTTTGAACTAATCATAAATATGAACTCATGGGGTCGTGGGTAGACAGAATCTACCATTAGACCTGGGTATTGACCGAGCGAGTGTCGCTCCCCTTTTTTTCGCGAAATCGGGTTTCGACATTGACAACTCTTTTAAAGTTTTTATAAGAGAGAGTCTCCACCTAACGAATTAAGGTGCGCCAACACACCTATTTGGAGATAACTCTGTTTAACCAGTTTGCATCACTAAAGATCGGGTAAGGGCTAGAAATTACCTCGAAGAGAAGGTGTTAGGCACTATTCGAGGTGCACAACTATGGATCCTGGCCGAACTCAATTCTATGTATTAGTCAATGTGATCAAAGATAAGAAAAAAAAAATAGGGAATCTGGGAAGTTCATTAAACGCAAATAATTGATGCGTAACCTATGCATGCACTACCCGTCCCATTCCTATGGTCCAGGAGGATTTGGACCTCTATTTAGGTAGTTCTAGACCCTAACCTAGGTTTCTCAAAAGGAAAAAATACTAAGCGACAGACAAAACAGTTAGGACTTTCATTTATAAGCAAACAAGGGCTCAAGTTGGCCTTTGCAATAAGGCAACAAATGCACGCAAGTTAGATTAACAAAGACAATTGCTGATTTTAAATATTTAAGATTATAGAAATGTTTAGGTAGGATTTCTATATGAATCTGGATTTGTATGGGCGGACAGTTTCATATATATATATATATATATATATATAAGCAAATTTCTTAATACAATTTCTGAAAGACTATACAGCTACCTACTGATTATACATTATAAGCGGTTAAACCTATAGGCATGATATATAGGTAATTTATGCAATAGTAGATAGTGGTAGGTCACAGAAAGAGATCCAGATTTGCTAAATCCAATAGGCATGTTGTCTAGTGAGAGTAATAGCGCAGTGTTTAGAATCTCCTGAACAAATGGGCAAAAATGATAAAGTGGTTGCTTCAAACCTATAGGCATGCTTTCTACAAACTGTTCCAATTTTTTAGATCTTATCGACATGATTTCTATAATTTTTAAACAGAGCAGCATGTGACTAAGGTTTTGTACACACATATTTAATATACAATTTCCTATAGGCATGGTTTCTAACACAATTAAACCATGTATTGAACCTAAAAGCTGGATTGCTAACATATAATGGTTGAACATAATAGGATACCTATAGGCATGATTTCTAACACACGATAACTGAACATGTATTATCACATTGTTGAACCTATAGGCAAGATTTCTATCCAATATGTTGCAAGCATAAAATACAAATCCTTTCCCATTCTTAATAATACCCCAGAATTGTTATTACAAATAATTGTTATAGCCCAGAATTTAATGAATGAGTTACAAAAATAAGTAAAACTATAAGGAGCCTACAACATGCCTAAATACACCTGGACACGCCAGTCCTTCAACTCACAACAGCTCCAAAAGCTCATGTTCATAGATAAACAATAACCAGTAGTAAATGATTTACCCATATTTCAAGGATAAGCATACGAAACTCAAATCTCTAGTGTGTCAGAGTTGCCAAGGGCTTCAAGAACCTAAGGAAATGCTCACACGCGTGAAACCTACCAGAAATAGTGAATGGAAGACTGGAGACCAAATCCAGTGTGTCATAGTTCACAAGGGTCTCACATGGACCCTGAGTTGTGCTCACACAAGGGAGGTCAAGGACAGAACCTAATAGCCTTGGCTTTCAACCGGCTAAGAATGAGGATTCAAAATAGCATAGGTAACAAATAAAAGAGAGTGGGTAATGGTTAAGGGACAGAGTTTGAAAATATGTACTTAGTTTTAGGAAGCAGACATAGCAAAGTTTAAAACACAGAACAATTTATCAAAAACAAGACTTAGAAACAGGTTTTTTATTTAGCAAACCAATACATAGGCAGAATCATGTTGAAAGAGTTAGGGAGAAACTAGTTTGTATGAGTTACAAAGATTGTCATACACAGATGCATAATACCAAACAAGTTAAAGCCTAAAAGGTCCAATTCATGCTAAATATATATCCCCGTAGCAAAAGAAAGCCAAGTTAACTCACACCAGGAAACAAAACAGCATTTAGACATGGTAGGTAATCACAAATTTGATAACTATCCTAGAGTCAAGTAATCACTGAAGGAATATTGAATAAAGTAAGCCAAAGACATGCTGAGAGACATATTAGTAGGGAAGCAAGTCACAAATTGTTACAAATGTGAAGCAGTCATTGCAAGAACTCAAAGTAGAGTAGGAAAACAGACTCAGGTTGATCAATAATGTAGACATTCAAGTATTGACTAGTAGACCAATATTAACTTAAAAGATTCAATGCAAGCACAAAACTAACAAAGTTGCATACAGGAGCAGTCTAGAATGCATTAGCTAAACAAACTTAAGAGGGTTCAAATTATTCAAGTTAGGCGTGAACAATCTTAGAACTAGCATCATTAAGTGAAGTTAAAATACAAAAGAGACTTAAATCGAGTGCAAAGTTTTAAAATCCAGCATAAAAATAACCCATATCCCAGAAATACATTAGGCCATGAACATCATAGATGAGAACATATGCAAATCATAGATACATCGGAATGAAACTACATAGGTTCAGTAACTCACCAGTTAAGCATAAAAAAGAAAGAACAATGTCCATAATAGCAACAACCCAGAATTTCTGGCCTTGGCTTTTAGCCGGCCAAGAACCATAATATAGAACAAGAATATGAGGGAACAAAGAGTAGTAACTTCAGTCTTTAGTAAACATTAACGATTCGTGTATTCTCTTAAAGGGGAATGGGGAGGGTTTATATAGTAATGGGAATTAAATAAGTAAATAAGGAAATACTGTAAAATCAAACATATATGAGGAAAGCATAGCATGCAGAATCAATAAAATCGGACTTTAGGAAAAAATAAGTAAACCCTAATTTTAGGGAAAATAGATAACAAAAACAACAACAACAACAACCCAGTAAAATCCCGTCAGTGGAATCTGGGGAGGGTAGATTGTACACAAACCTTACCCCTAGCCTAGAAGGGTAGAGAGGCTATTTCCGGGAGAGCCTCGGCTCAGAGACAATAGATATGTGATAACAAAACCTGAAAAATAATATTAGCAACGTGAGAGACAACAAATAAATTGAAAAGCAGTAACACAAATATTATGAAAAAGTGTGAACCACAACATAAATTGCTAACAGGGCTAGACAAAACCCTATCATACTCGTTGGTATAAAGAGGGAAACCGGGACAAAGAGCAAAACCGCTTGACGACCCCTTAACCTACAACCGTAATGCTTGACCTCCACACCTTCCTATCAAGAGACATGTCCTTGGAAATCTAGAGCCACGCCATGTCCTGTCTGATCACCTCGACCCAATACTTCTTAGGTCGCTATCTACCTCTTCTCGTACCTGCCAAAGCCAACCGCTCAGACCTCCTAATCGAGGCATCTAGGTTTCTCCTCTGCACGTGTCTGAACCATCAAAGCCACGCTTCCCGTATCTTGTCGTCCACCAGAGCCACGCTCACCCTCTTCTGAATATCTTCATTCCTAATCTTATCCATCCTAGTCTGCCCATACATCGATCTCAACATCCTCATTTCTGCTACTTTCATCTTCTGGATATGTGAATTCTTGACTGGCCAACACTCAGCCCCATACAACATGGCCGATCTAACCAATGCTCTATAGAGTTTACCTTTGAGTTTCGGTGGCACATTCTTGTCACACAGGACTCCAGACGCTAACCTCAATTTCATCCACCCCACCCCAATACGGTGCATAACATCCCCGTTGATATCCCCATCTCTTTGGATAAATTGACCCTAAGTACTTAAAAATTTCTCTCTTGAGGATGACCTGTGAGTCAAGCCTGACTTCCACATCCGCTTCCCCCATCACGTCGATAAACTTACATTCCACATATTCCGTCTTAGTCCTTATCAACTTGAAACTATACTCCAGGGCCTACCTCCATACCTCTAGTATCCCATTAACGCTGGATTGTGTCTCATCAATAAGAACTATATCATCAGCGAACAACTTACACCATGGCACCTCTCCTTGTATATGGTGTATCAGTACGTCCATTACTAGGGAAAATAAGAATAGGCTGAGCGCAGATCCTTGGTATAACCCCATAACCACCGAAAAAGTCTTTGATTCACCTCCTACAGTCCTAACCTGAGTCATATCTCCATCATACATATCCTTTATTTCCCTAATGTAAGCCACCGACAGACCTTTCAGCTTTAGAGATCTCCAAAGGACATCCCTGGGTACCTTGTCATACGCCTTCTCTAGGTCAATAAACACCATATGCAAATCTCTTCCTATCCCTGTATTGTTCCACCAACCTTCTGAAAAGGTGGATAGCTTACATAGTAGAACGACCTGGCATGAACCTGAACTAGTTTTTCGATATAGATACCGCCCTCCTTATCCTCCCTTCTAACACCCTCTCCCAAACTTTCATTTTATGACATAGTAACTCGATACCCCTATAGTTGTTACAATTCTGGATATCATCTTTGTTCTTGTACACTAGAACAATTGTACTCCACCGCCACTCATAAGGCATCTTCTTCGTCTTAAAGATAATATTAAACAACCTAGTCAACTACTCAAGGCCTACTCTTCCCGCATATCTCCAAAACTCTACTAAAATCTCATCTGGTCCGGTCGTTTTTCCCCGACTCGTCTTACCCATCGCACCCACGACCTCCTCAACCTTAATGCTCCTACAGTACCTCAAGTCGCGATGGCTCTCAGAGTACCCCAATTTCCCCGTCATGATGTTTCCATCCCTCTCTTCATTCAGAAGTTAATGAAAGTACAACTGCCATCTTTGCCTATTCTGGGCCTCTTCTACCAATACTCGGTCGTCCTCATCTTTGATGTACTTCACTTGATCCAGGTCACGAGCCTTCTTCTTTCTAGCTTTGGCCCTGCAAAATAACTTCTTGTCCCCACCTCTGCCCCTAAGTTCCTCATACAGCCGACCAAATGCAGAAGTCTTAGCCTTTGTGATCGCTAATTTCGCCTCCTTCCTTGCCTCCTTATATCTTTCTCTGTTCTCTCTCCTCTGATCCTCATCAGTGCTCTCTACTAACTTAGCGTAAGCTACTTTCTTAGCTTCCATTTTACCTTGGACCACATCATTCCACCACTAGTCGCCTCGGTGCCCGCCAAAATAACCTTTTGAAACCCCTAACACCTCTCTCGCTTCCTCCCTTATACAGTCTGTCATCGCCGTCCACGTAGCACTAGCGTCCCCACCACTCTTCCAGGCACCCATAGTTGTTAGTCGCCCCTCCGACTCTCATGCATAATCCTTAGACAAAGCTCCCCACTTAATCCTCGACTGACCCCGTATAAACCTCTTCTTACTTTTCATCAAGATACCGACGTCTATCACCAGGAGCCTATGTTATGTGGCAAGGTTCCCACTCGGGATCACCTTGCAATCCTCGTATAAACGCCTATCACACCTCCCGAGGAGGAGATAGTCAATCTGAGTCTTAGCCACCATACTCCAAAAACCAAATGTTCCTCCTTCTTCGGAAACATAGAGTTCACAATCCAATATGACCATTGAATTCCCCTCCTATGAACAACTTCTCCATAAGAGGAATACCCCATACCACCTCGTATAGCACCTCCCAAAAGTGCCTTTTAACCTCCTTGTCCAAGCCCATTTGTGGGGCATAAGCGCTAATGACATTCAGAGTGCTCCCTCCAACTACTACCTTAATCGCCATCAATCTATCATTCACCCGCCTAACCTCTACCACCGACTCTCTGACCTCCCTATCCACTATAATGCCCACTCTCCAGAGAACCACAATTTATACCTATCTATAATCCTCGCCTTCGATCTAACCCACCTAGTCTCCTGCACATACAGTATATTGACCCTCCCCTTCTGGAAAATCTTCGCCAACTCTATAGACTTACCTGTCAATGTCCCTATATTCCACGATCCAATTGTCAACCTACAGGTGACCTTGTTTCCTTTACCCCCTTTGGGCCCCGTCCCACCCCTGACCTTGCTCTACCCCACTCCCCACTACCCGATCTCCCTGAGGACATGAACCTACTTTGCAATTACAAACCACAGTCTCTATACCTACGAAGGTCTAAAAATGAAAAAGAAAAAAACACCACACAAAAAAACAAAGGGAGCAAATCATACCTACAAGCCCACAACTAGACTGACTAGACTAGTACGAAATACTACGGCAACAAAGTAATTAACATAGGAGACAGAAAAACTAGAGGCGGGAGGTAGGAATTCCCGGAAATAGAACCTGGAACATTCAACTTGGTATACTCCCGATTTTGTGGAACCTGAAATATAGCAACTGCTCTACTATTTATGTACATGCACCTCTCTACCGCCGCAAAATAGCCACAAAAGTGATACCTGCAAAACACACAAAGATACCGGCGAGGAGTTCTCGAATGCGTAAATGAATCGAAGAAACTTGGATAATTTTGCTCAAATACAAGAAAAATAATTTAACAAATTCAAAGTTCAGAAATTGAATTCTTAAAATTTGTAAAAATTGTTTACACAATAAGTTATGTCAAAGATTTTGGAATCTCTTAAAGTAAATAAATTGTGAAAAAATTGGCGGTAAGAATCAAAATATTTTGAAAATCTTGAAGTCAATGAAATAGAAGTTGTAAAATGAATAGACATAGTAAGACATTTATGGTAGTATATGATTTTGCTATGAGTGATTTGGAATCTCGTAAAATAAACAAAATTGTTAAAAAATTGGTGGCTAAAATCAAAAGATTTTGAAAATCTTGAAGGCAATGACTCAAAATTTTCAGTTAAAAAAGATTTTAGAAGGAGATTAAAGTCCAGTTCTATGGAGTTCCAGCGACTAGCAGAAGGAAGATGACGACCGACCTCTAAATCAAAAAAATACGTGATTTTCAATAGATACTGTAAAGTGCAAGATCTGTTAAGCGAGATGAAGGTACACGCAAGGAAGCTCTCAATAAAACACGAATTCAAGATTTTTCGGCGGGAATTTGAACGAAGTAAAAATGGTCGGCGGAGATTAGGACGGATAATGATTTCAATTGATGTTAGGTTAATCTGTAAATATTTATATCCTAGAACATAAGCCAGAACAAAAAAGTGTTAATCAAGCAAAATTTAAGGAAAACAGATATTGACAAAAATAAAATAAAAGTTGGTCACGCAGTAGAATATAGGATGAACATGGTCATAATAAGACATAAAATTATAGAATCAAACTAATTTTGGTTCGATCTGAAGAGTTCTGAAAACCCCAATTTAAGGTAAGTAAGAATCAACAAGAGATAGAAAACAATCGTACTTACAAAGAGCAAATGATGAACATATACGGAATAAATAGAAAAGTTAAGGATTTGAACCAACTTTGGTTCGATTTTTACAAGATCTGCTTGCCATGTTTAGTCAAGCAGTATAGAGAAGGACCCAGTACCAGGGAGAAGTCATATATGGCAAGAATCGGTCGTGGAATCCCATGTTAGGTGAGATTTAGGATAAGATTTAGGGGGCGGTGCTAGAATTTTTCAGAGAGAGTTGAGATAGAGAGAGTTCGAGGGCGGTGGGGCTGGGATAATGATCCCTGGGGTTAGATGGTTTAGGATTTAAACGGACGATTAAAAAAATAGGGGTTGGGTTGGGTTTATGGAATGGTTACCAACCGAGTAATTACAGGGGTCATTTGGATTGAGCTTTGAGGGGTTGGGCCAAAGACTTGGGGTTTGTTTGGTCCAAAATTGGTTTTAAAACTAGGCTATTATTTAAATACACAAAAATAATTTATAAATAAGTAAAAATATTTTATGCACCAAAATGATAAAATATAATAATTTAGTATTATAAAAATATAAAATATCATTTTAACACAAATAACATAAATAAAGAGCATTAATGTGTGAATGCAGGCTATTACTACAAAAATTGGGCGAATGGCTTAAAATATAATATAATTATATAAATTGAAGTAAAAAATATTTGAAACATATATTATAGGTGCAAATAATAATTTTAGGTGATTAAGTCATCATGAGATAATTTGAAGGAGTAATTAATAAATATTTAAGTAATTTAACTATAGAAAAATCAATTTAAAAGCTCTGGAAATTATGAAAAATTATGGAAATATGTGTATAAGATTTATAAATTAAATAATGATGCAAATATGCTATTTGAAAGCATATATATTATTTTAAGAATATGAGGGTCAAAATTGGGTATCAACAACTGCCCATCTTTACCCGAAAATGATGAAAGAGTTGTCGGATAAAGAAATGATGATCGATTTTGACCGAATGGGGTGATTTGAAAAATATAGGCCGCACTCTGGCCTTTGAGCTACCTACATATCCCTGGTTTTACAGGAATCAGGCCATGTGTATTTTTGCACCCAACGGTGAACGAAATCGATAATGTTGTTATAAGAATGGTCGTGTGTTTCGGAAAGGGTTCTTTTGAGTAGGATAGTATCGGATGAATTTGTGTGAGGTAACGAATGTGAATTTGAGATGTTATGTATATATCACAGGGTAGATATCTGAATGGTCATAGAGTAAAAAGCAAGTAATTGACGGGAGTCGATTACGTTTGAAATAACGGAAGGGTGTGAATGATGAGAAAGGAAACTGGAGCGAAGGTTGCTCCTGTTTGAAGGACGGTTATTTCCTAGATAACATGCAAATTAAAACATGATGCACGTAAAATATATATGGATTATTGCGAGAATTTAAATATGATGCAAATTCCCTTTTGACCATGATGATTGTCTTCGGACGATGTCCTTAGATAATGACATCCTGAGCCATGAATCGTGCGATAAGGGATTTGCAGGCCATGAAATAATGTTCTTGGGCCATGAGAATGGTGCCTCTGAACTATGACTCCCTTGAATAATGGTGTGCAATATTGAGATCCTTAGGCCATGACATGGTGTCTTCCAACTATAAGGATGATGCCTTCGGACTATGACATCTTCGGAAAATTTAGCTATGCTTCAGCCTATGGGATGCAAAGATATGATGCTTGAGATGAGATAGGACAGAGCTCTAATGCTTAGTCTCATGCAAGGAAAGACGGAGCTTAGCCTTATACAATTAGGGAGGCAGGGCTTAGCCTCATGCAAGAAGATGAGACAATGCTTAGTCTCATACAATGGAAGGCAATGCTTAGCCTTATGCAATTGGGGAGGTAATGCTTATCCTCATGCAAAATGGGGAGAAAATGCTTAGTCTCATGAGAAGAAAGAAAGTTCTTAGCCTTATATGGTTACGGAGGCAGGGCTTAGCATCATCCAAAAAAGAGGAGACAATGCTTAGTCTCATGCAATGAAAGGCAGTGTTTAGCCTTATGTAGTTACGGAGGCATGGATTAACCTCATGCAAAAAAAAAAAGATAATACTTAGTCTCATGCGAGGAAAGTCAGTGTTTAGCCTTATGCAGTTAGGGAGGCAGGGCTTAGCCTCATGCAAGAAGAGGAGATAATGCTTAGTCTCATGCAATGGAAGACAGTGCTTAGCCTTATGCAACTGGGGAGGCAATGCTTAGCCTCATACAAAATAGGAGACAAAGCTTAGTCTTATGCGAACAAAAGCAGTTCTTAGCCTTATGTAGTTAGGGAGGTAGGGCTTAGCCTCATGCAAGAAGATGGGACAATGCTCAGTCTCATGTAACGGAAAGACAATGGGTGACAATAGAGTATTTTGTTATCTGGAGACATGTTTGTGTTTGGCAGCCTTGTCATTATGAAGATAGTGATTTTGATTTGTGTATACTTGCGAATATTCATGTTGTCTTCATTGTTCCTGCATCCAAAGATAGATCATGAGTTTTGCGGGGAAGATTGGTTCGTGTCTTCATCTGCTTGCTTTGCTTTGCCTCGTTTCGGAGGTCCTATTTGAGTTGTCTCAGGTAACATCTAGATGCCGTAGAGATAAAGATTCCGAAAAATATTCATGTATTTGATATAATAGAGTTATTTGTAAAAATAGTGGTATGTAATATCAAACAAATTAGATGAACTAATGATTGCGACACTTTTAGAGACATTGCGACTTTCTTGCATTAGAATTTTGAGGGTCCTCCTCAAATTTCAGCCC